TTCCTATTCTTACTTTTTATAGCATTTGGTAGAACCTAGGATCACTATATTAACGTTAATGGATTCTTAAGAATAATAAGTAAAATAGAGTCTAAAAAGTTATATGAAATACTGGTTAACCTGTGATAAGAGGGAGTTGAGTGAGATCATCTATCACTATGACATTAATTTTACTGAAAAGTTTTGCATTATTATATATGTTCGCAAATATGTTAGATATGAAATCTAATAGTTCGGCTGAGATTATTGATATTTATTGATAATATGGATATCAACTTGCTTTAAATGATTATTTAGGTTGTTATCTGCGTAAGTTCTAATGTGAAAGCCTCTATTTGTAAATATAATGTAAAGTGTCAAATGTATTATTTTTCCTTTGATGTTTTATGCAGTCACTTTAGTAGGAGTTAACAATAAATGATTGGAGTGTCTTTAGTTGAATAAATTTAATAAAAGATTAACTACATAAGATTTTTCAGTACTAGCTAGTCCAGTGATAAAGTAATAAAGTTATTTTATTCTGTCATTTTAACTCATATATATGGATATAGTTGATAATGCATAGTACTGATCTTAAGGTAGTTTGAGTATCACTGTTTTAGATAGCGTATATGGTAAATCTTTATTTTTTAATTGTAAATGTATGATGTTGTAGATGTTAATGAAAAGTTCATTATGTAATGCATTTAGGAGTTTATTTAACATTTTACTGAACTAGGTGTTTAATTGAATTATACATAATTAAGTTGTAGTAGTAATTTGATTTTGTAGATCATTTAAAAAGTCTGAAAATAATAACAAGAATTTTTTTCAGTAGATACTATTTGGACCATTTAGACTAGATTTTAGGTTCACTTTATTTCTTGTTTGAATATTGTGAAGTAATTTTTAATAAAAGTATACAATATTTCTTCATCTTTAAGCTTGAGAAACTAGTATCTCATGAATATTTCTTTCAAGCGTTTAATAACGTAATTGTTTAATTGGTCATAGTATATTTACTGAGTTATTGTAAGATAGAATGGGTTGATCAAGTATTTTTCAAAGTATTGTGGGTATGTAAGGTTATTGAATTCTAAGAAAAAAGGTTGAAATATATATTTAGTAATTGTATCATCATAATACAGATTTTTATTGTTCTTATCGATCATGTAAATGGAAGTATCACATGAGTTTTCATATTAGAAGGATCAGTAATAAGATATTTTACGGTTGTAGATGAGTTATAAATGGTATAGTCTAAAAGTAGAAACATCAGTTCCATTAAACTAAATCATCTTGCCAAAATGTGTTTTCTTAATCAATCACTGTCTCATATGTTGAAAATATGAGAAGGTTCCTATTTTAAAAAATATTTAACCATATATTGTACAAATCCTCTGTCTGTTATGTATTAAGTGTTCATGTGAGCATTTCAGATTAGTAATATTACTAGATGATAAGGAACAACCTATGAATCTGCTTCTTTTAAATATTTGTAGATGTATCATGAGATTCCTTCTTCATAATATATTATCTTACTGAAAGAACAAGAGAATCTAATTTTGCACATTTATTCTGATACTGTTAGTCTATGATATTTTACATTACAGGTATATATCTGGTTTAACATCATAGCAGCATAAAATTCAGGTTCAATTAGAGGGTTAAGTATCATTAAATAAATAATATTATTTGTGATCATCTCTTCAATAGATGTAGTCATCCAATAGTAGTTATGGGTGTGGGCTGCATCTCTATTCTGGAATTCCACTCTATTAAAGAAATCAGTAATTTTCCCAAAACCTGTTAAGTCTGATTTCTTATAAAGTTTCTTCTTTAGGCACTGAACTTATAAACGAAGTAGTTTATATAGTGAAGGAGTCTGTTAATAGGTAAGGTATCTCTGTTATCGCTATCTGAAAGTATGTTATAAAGGTAGATCTACCAGTTTTTTGTTATGCTTAAAGTGATAAAGTGGATCAATAGGTCAATCTTTTGTATCATGATGTTTAAGTGTAGTTATTTTTAATGAAAATACATATTACTACTATGTATGAAGAAAGGAATAGGTATTATTATGTTTTCGTTAATTCTGTAAGAAGAGGGATTATACTTGCTTGGTTGTAGTAATTTTCTGCCTATAAGAAGGTGATTACCATTACTGAATTTAGCTGAGCCTATTTTAATAATCATTAGGTATTCTGGTGATGCCTAAGTTTCTCTAGTTATAAGTATAACCAAGCAAACCAATAGTAGTGTAGTCTTCACCTTAGATCATAATTCATTAATCTTTATTTTATGTATTTGCTATAAATTTCATTACAGTCCCCATTAATAAGGTGAAATTCATCTATTATGTTATAGAAGTGATCTCTTCTGTTAATGAATATATCAGAAAAAAGTAAGAATTTTAAGTTTGGATCATATGTTAAAATCGGTATTCATAATATTTTATTTTCTTAAATGAAACCTGCCATTAGCTTGATATAATGAAAGTTTTCGTTATGAACTTTATCTGAAAAGTCATAGTTTAGTATTTTTATATTACATAGGATTATATAAAGAGTATTTAGACTAATCAGAATGTATCTCACACTCAAAAAGAGTTCGTTTACACTTTGGTTACCATTACATGATAACAATATGTCAGTAAAAGATTGAAGGTAAGAATTATGCTGTGCTAATCAAGATGCTGCTTTTCATAAGGTTTCATCGTGAAGGTAGTCATCATTAGAATTATTCGAATTATTATTTAGTTTTAAGAAGGCTCTTAGAATTCTGGTGTATAAGGCGTAGGCTCTAACATTACATAAGTAGTTTATTGTATCAGTTAACATTCTATACTTAAAGTTCTACCTAAGAAGTAATGTAAGTAGATTGGTGAGAGGTATTTTTTTTTATGTAATAAAACTGAGGTAATCTCTTGAGGTATAGGGAAAAGGTGAGGAAAAGTGAACTGGGTAGATAGTTTTTTACAAGGTTCACAGGTGAGAACTCTTGATTCAAAGATGTGATTAGTATTAGGATTAAATAATAGCATAATATTAGGAATATATCTCTATATAGGATAGGTAATTAATGGGTTGTAGTATATTTAGGATGCTTTCTTTAGGTATAAAAGTTTACTATAATACACGTAAGCGATCTGAGATTACTGATCTAAAATATTATTTTGAAACTGATCGTACAGTTTTTGTAATTTTGAAATAGATATCTAATGTAAGGGTTGATATAATTCTAATTCTTGAGAAGTACTATTTTAGATGAATGAATTTGTGTTTGTGAATATTTTGGATATTGTAAATTCTAAGTTATTAACGTTATTATTATCAGATAACAGAGTTTGAGCATTCCAATCTAATATAATTTCATGTTTGTTATCAAATGTAAATACGTTATTCAGTTTATGGTTCATGTTTGATATTTTTTTATATATTTTTTTTAAGTATAAAAAAAAAGAAAATGAAAAATATTTTAGATTTTTTTTTCTTTTTTTTTTTATTATGAAAATAAAATTTTACTTTTTATTTTATTTTATTTTATTTTTTTTTTTTTTTTTTTTTTATAAGTCATATAATGTAAAATGAAAAAAAGTTTAGCATGTTGATTATTATCAATATTGTTTAATTTGTCTTTTAAATTTTTTTTATTTTAATTTGTCTTTTTTGCAGTTTGATTAATTGGTTAACTATTTTTTTTTCATTTTTTTTTATTGTAGTAATTTTTTTTTTAAGTTTAATAAATAAAATCACAGAATGTTTGATAAATTTGTTATTAAGTATATTTTTTATTTATTTATTTAAAATTTATATAGTATTATTATATATATATATATTTTTATTATTTAATATATTATGTTTTATTTTTTTATTTTTTTAAAAAAAAAATAAATGTGAATTTTAATTTTTCTCGCACAGAAAAATAATGATCATTATCATCATTTTTTTAGAATTAAACATTCAATTTGTACACATATTAGTTATAAATTTATTGTTTGATTTTGATATATTATATCAGGCGAAAAGGAAAGAAGAATGATATATATTGTCAACAGAGCAATTGACCAATCATAATGAAGTTATGTGAATGATGCAGTATAACGATCTCTTAATTCAGAATTCTGAAAATATTGAGAATTCTGCAAATTCTGAAAATATGGAAGATTTATGTAATTCTAAAAATCTTTCAAATATTGATGATAACCTTAATTTTATGAATTAAACGAAGTCTAGGAATATTTAATGTTATACTTATTTTATTTTTAATATTATAATTTTTATTATTATTTTTATTATATTTTATATTTTTATTATTTTACGTATTTTTATTTTTCTTATATTTTATCTACAAAATTAGTTAGTTTATAGTATAATAAATAGTTAGCTGTAATAAAAGAAATTTTGTATAAATAGATAGACTTTTTGCTTATGTTGTAAATTAACTCTTTTACAGATTAACAATTGAGTTTTAATATTAATAAAGGAATCATTCAAAACTTATATCTTTTTATCTTTTCATATCTTCATATAGTTTGATGTGATCCTTACACATAATTTGTAATTGAGTTCATCATCTGAATTCTTTAATTAAACTATTCGTAATCTCATCTTTCAAGTCTTCATACTTAATAAGATTTGTTTAAGTTTAACGCGTAGAATTGATAAAGTTAAGAGTTAGGCAGATCCTAACATTTTAATCACAGTAAGCTGCAGTTAGTAACTTTGAGTAGAGACTTGATAATGTGATCAATCTGAGTTGAAGAATTTCACAATGACAACATGACAAAAAAATTGAGAAAAAAGTGAACGAAAATAAAAGAAAAAAATAATAATAATGGGCTGTTAAAATTGTAAATAAAAAAAAATTTAATAATTAGAATTTTCTCTAGTATTCATTGATTTTCAGTTTATAGCAATCTTGGCAAATAATTTTGAAATTTATAAATAATATGTTTATTTATTTAGTTTAATCTTCAGTTCTCTCATTAGGGTGTTTAAGTAGAAGTTCTTCAGTTACAAATGGTGGAATCAGATTTAGGTTGCTTTGTAGAATCTCTGCTAGAGGTTTTGAGCTTCTCATTCACGTTAAAGTGCCATGATCATAGGATCTCAGTATCACACTTCGTAGTCTTCTATTACCTCTACCTTTACCACGAGTAGAGCTTGTAGACAAAGAGTTTACTTATGGTAAACTTAGGATTTAGACTGCTCTGTTCGCTTATTGTTACAAGATGAAAGAGATGTCTTCTAATATCAAAACATGCTTTTTGAATGATAATTCCTTCTCAGTTATTGCGTCATTTACGAGTTGTTGGTAACTTATCAATCTGGTAAGTATCACTAATGTTAAATAATTATGTTGATTAACAGAGTTCATTTTTTCTGTTAGGTAGTTATTGTTCACGTGATGCTTAACCTCGACTCAGAAGTCCCTAGGCTCCCTTTCTTCTAAATATTCTTTTACAAAGAAATCAAGCATTGAAAACCCATCAACATTTCTAACCATCTAATTTATTATGCTTGTTACCATCATGTTCAGTCTCATAATTAGGATGAGATCACAATCAATCTTAACTTCTTTGATTGAAGTTGCATTAACCTTATCATGTTATAGTAAGCGGGTTAGTATGCTATTATATTTTATTTTTTTATTCTTTTTAATCAGTTACATACTGTATATCAGTTATCACAACTGACGAACTTTCCCTTAAGTGAATCATCCTTTCATTTTCAAAATCGCTCAGAATTTCCATCAAGCGGGATGAACGCCTTTACGTGAAGATATGTCACATTTTGATTATCTTCGCTTAATCTTATGATCACAGTGTCCTTGATCATGTGTTCTCTCATCAGACACTTTGTGTGACTCATCATGTAACAGATAGTGGATACTTTTGTGAGCATCAGAGATGTTGAATTGAATTCTTTTTGTATTTTTTTTTAAAATTCATTTTTTTTTTTTAAAATTTAAATAGACGAAAAAATTTTTTTTAGTCAATGAGAAAAAATCATTTATTTTACACAAGTACCAGATGGTAAATTTCCTCTATCATCCTTTGTAAAAAAAAAGGATATAGTATTGGTTTAGTCTGGATATTTTTTTAAAATCATATGCTAAAAATGTATAAATAAGGCGATCAAGAGGTAATAGTAGACCGTAAACTATACTAAAAATAACATGGTTATCTTGCTCAGTCAAAATTTGCCTTCAGCCATACTTAGTCACGATTCACAAAGAGAAAAAATTCTCTATTTAAAATTTTCTATTTAACGAGTCTCAATACGCGGTGGCGGAAAACGTATGGGTTCAGCTAATCTACTACCCGTAGGTACGCGGTATACGTATACAGTATACGGTATATGGTATATAGTATATACCGTATAGTAAATTCAGAAGCATCTTTTCCCAAATTTGGCAAACGAACTCTAGCCCGATAAGAATGTACATTGCAAGTGTTTTGAAGATCATACAGGATTTAAAAAATTTTTTAAAATAAAGGAATGTATAAAAAAAAAGCTTTAGGTTAAGCACAAAAGAAAATTTTATTCTGAAATAGGTAAAAACGATAACAATGTTTGGATTTACATAGTTGATGGAACACCCCAATGCGATATGAAATTTTGCACAAATCACAAGACCGAAAAATTTATCGTTAGGTAAAAATTTAAAAATAAATTACTACGTCTTCAAGTCTTACTACATTAGGATATTACTGCAAAAATTTAACGGGGCCTGATATATTGCAATTTTTTAACGAAATCATTTCAAAAATCAATTGTTTTTTGATTTTCGAATATTTGAATACTAATTATATGATTTCGAATATTTGAATTTTATTTATTTGCAAAATAATATTTAAATATCTATTTTCAAACGGAAACCCTATAACATACAAATTGAAAATCTAGATACGTTTAGAGCTTACACTAAATTTTTGAAGTTTAATTAACGAGCCATCAATGCTAGGAAGAACGTTCCATGAATAAAATAATCCAAAACCAAAATAAAACGCCTTCAGATAAAATATCTGTTCATTTTACAGCACGGTTATGTTAGATTTTTTTTCGATCGGTTTGTATTTTATTTTTTTTTTTGGTTTGGTTCTAGCGATCGGTCGCCCGAATATCCCGACTGCGGCTCGTATGTCCGTCTATCGGTTTGTATTATATTTTGTGTATATGTATTAATAAGATGTTTGCGTTACAATTAACAAACTATTGGTTTAAAATCCTGTTTAATGGAAAATGGTGTCTTGAACTTCAAAAATAGTTGCTGGTTGCTATTCTTAAAAAAAAAAAAAAAATTTTTTATAGACAATCTATAATTGTATAATATATAACAGAAATGAATAGTGGTTACTAATATCACAATTTGATATTGGTCGTTTATTGTAGAACGAAAATTATTAACAAAGGCTGCTGATTTTAACATTTCATTTTACCTTGACTTAAACTTTTTACATGAAAAAAAAAAGTAATTTTAACTAAAGAGGAAAGATCATACATATGGAACAGAAAATTGAGCTGATATTTAAATATGATAATGTTTATATATATACAGTATATCATAAGTAACAAATTGTCCTATACGACGCATCATAGTTTTCTTATTGACATAAGATTATATTCAAATTTAGCATATAAATTTCTAAAATGTAATAGAAGTTTAAAATTTTTTTTAAATATTGATTGCCAAAACATCAATTTCAATAAATTAGAGAAAAATTTTTGTCTTACCGTAAATAAAATTACGAGTAGAATACGTAATTTGGATTATAAAATCTTCGAAATTTGATATACTTCATAATCTTCTATTGAGAATACCTCTCGTGTATTTCTTATCGTCTTTTCATAATCCATTAACCAACAATAATTATAATTATAATCTTCGTTCTCTTTTCCATTTATATTTGATAAACAAAGATTACTAAGGAAAGCGGGACCACAACAAAAGTTATAGTATAAAGCTTGATCTGCATTTTTCACATGACTTAAGATTGGATCGTTGAAGTTATCCTTACTCTTAAAAGAAAAAACAAAACTATCCTTGGTTTTACCAAATTTTTCTTGCGAAGGAGATTTCCATATTGAAGGGTTATATCCTCCAAGAATTTCTTGAGTCCCTTTTACTTTAATGAATGTAACCGTGCAAATCACGTCATCACATAACTCATGGAACTTCTTTGGAGTAAACCCATCTCGGCTTCCCCTTAATAACAATTTAAATGCATACGGAAAATATAGTTCTCTTGTATATGCAAATCTGCTTTGAATCTCTACCTTTTCAATCCATCTTGAAATTATTGAAATAATATTTAAATTAACAATCTTTGTATCAATAATTCCATCAACTTTTCTACATCTAGGAAGTAAAATGTCATTACTTGGAATACTATTTGGTTTAAAGTAGGAATTTAATAAATCTTCATAAAGTTTATAATTCAAAAGATTTTTATATGGATGAACTTTTGTGATGAATTCGTTAGAAGATAAACTAAAAAATCTAATAAATGGTAATAAATTTCGTAAAGTCATCATCATCACTTTGAAATCATCATATGACCAAATTCCAGGATCTGAAGTGATTAAGGGATTTTTTGTAAGACCCCATTTCAATATGCATTCCCAAATTTCGACCTCTTTCATTTGCAAGTCGTCTCTTTTGATAATTGAAATTAAGGTCTGTTCGGAAAGAGAAGTAAAGTCACGTGATTTGACAATAAATTCTTCACAAAATTGTTGAAGTTCAGTTAAGGAATTTGATTGACAGATTTTTGAATAAATTCGTTCAAAATATTGTTTTATCCATGCGGATTCGTGATGAATTAAATAATCTTGTAAAAATTCAATTAGTTCCGGAAGGAGAAGTTCATTAGCCGCAACCAAGACTTCAAAAATATCCGAGGCTTGATACCCATTTAATGTAATGAAACCACAATAAAAATATCTATATTATAAATAACAAAATTTAGAAGATTAGAAGAAAATTTATAAAAGATAACATTTTTTTTTTTAATTATAACTTACTTCAAAATGATTTGAAAGGTTTCCGGTAAAATATTTGGCAACTTTATGTGAGGTATGAACCCATCATTGTTCTTTTTACAGGAAGCCAAATTTTGTTTAAAAAATGAGGAACGGTAACACAATATAATCATGTGTGCATTGAATAATTTCAAGTTTGGCCCTTCCCCCACTTCGATTACCATATCATAATATTCATTATCATCTAATATTTCAATATAATTGTTTAATACATTGGGGAAAAATTTTAATAACATTTTTTGTTATTCGTTTGAAAGAAAAGTTTTGCGGGAAAAAAAAAATTATAAATCCTATATATAGTTAAAGTATCGGTATTCTCCTGACCAATCACAACATAATTTAGGCGACAATAATTAGATTATTATGATTGTTAATGATTGAACGATCAACTGAAATCGTCCCAGATTTACCATATTACCAGTTCGTTTTGCATCTATTGCAAGTCCAGTATTATATAAATCAATGCTATAAAAACAGCGGTGGCGGTAGATACTCGAATTATGTATCAAGCATCAATGGATCCAATAAAAGAACGCCGGTTAGGTTCTATCTAGTCTGAAGCATAATTTCAGATAATTGGACTTATAATAAAAATCATAATTCAATTTTTCTTGTGCGATTTTTTTTTGTGTTTTTGTGAAACTCGCGTGACATGACACCAGCAACGCAGAATTCTATTGGGTGATCAATATGCAGGACAGAACGACATTGCATTTGATATGTATTTGATTGTCCTCCGTTATATTTCGGACATTAAATGTCAAAATATTAAAGAATATATCGTGCACATTCGTATAAGACGCGAACTACAAGTATGCATGTTTTAAATTATCATTTTAAAATTAATAAATTATAAATTATTACTACCAAGGGGGACTTATGTAGAAAATCCACTCTTTGCCACATTAATAAGCGCGTTCTCTCATAATTTTGCAAAAAGTTATTGATGTAATTTATCTTCATTGTTAAACGGTTAGATTCTTTTCGCGGTTATACTGGAAGTTCTGTTAAAAATGGATTAGTATAATTCAAGGTGCAATTAATAAAAGTTTTTAATATACAGTATATTTGTATTAGTTATATCCGGGATAAGCGTAACTTTACTAGAATTGCATAAATGATCAGCCTAACCGCTGATCATTTTGATTCGGGTATAACT